CCGTGACAGGCTGGCAACCAGAAATATGAAGCAATGACATATGAACCCTGCTCCGGGTCCAAACGACACTGCGTTTATTAAGGCTCTTGGTTTTTAGCGAGTTTTAATGAACAAGCCCTGAAAAATAGTCGGTGAGCACTGCCGGCCTCTCTGGGTTTTTATTATCGCTATTCATCTGCAGCACATTTTAAAGCTGTCGCTGCTGTTTAGCTTTTCGTCTTTATTTATGTCCGAAGTGGCAGCAGAGATGTACGTGTTAATGTTTCAGAAATCCCTCAGTCAGAATATGATGTATCATCTTTAGCTAAAACTAGCAAGCTAACTCCCTGCTAGCTTCTACCCATGTTAAACGTCATAAATGCTGCTTTTCATGAATGCTCGGATGTTAAACTTAATTGTTACACCTGGTAGAGCAGCCACACTGATCATTTTATTAAAGATGAAAGAGTTTTTAACTCTCAGTGATGCCGCAGTGTTTGTTTCAATTTGGGAACTGAAGAGGATTTTGGACCCAGAAATGGCTAATCATGTCAGACTTCAAAGGTTGGGTTGTCTTTTTTGTTTAACACCTTATTCTTCCTCATAGCACTGCTTATGGCAGTAGCTGTAACTGCAGGCCTTAGCTAGCCTTTGTAATGAAAAATTGTAAGACTGCTACTTCTCTGTCAAGCTGACCTTACTGAATGAAAGGCTTCATACTGTCTTACTTTGTCTATATGTAATCTTTCATGCTGATGTACGAGTTATAGCGTTATAATGGAATTGTGACCACGGCAGACCACAAGTCTCTTCAAATATTCCAGGTTTACATGGTCAAAAACCATGCACACTTCCGTTGTACTCTGTACTGCAGTTTGAACTCCTTGCAAAGACAAACTAGCTGTGTGCCCTTCAGTTTATCTCCACAACACCTTAAGCAGAGATCAGTAAAATCTGGTAAACCCACTTCTATTCAACCAGCTGTGCCAAGTGGCATCCCATGAGGCAGTTTATCAAAGTTTGAGAAGTAACCGTGAGCAGTGTTGGGGAGTAAATGAATACATGTACCGCCGTTACGTATTTAAAATACAAAATATGAGTAACTGTATTCCGTTACAGTTTCCGTTTAAAAAGGTGGTATTTA